ACCGGCGATCTTCCGATCACAGGCCCACCTTATCTAACCTCTGCGCCACCACTCCCCCAAGCCATGCCACAAAGCGGTCCACTAGTTCCCTGTACTCAGCTTCTTGTCCATCTCTGATACACCCGACCACTGCAGAGTCATCTGACTATTTCTGCAGATGACAGAAGTTTGTTTTGTACTGGAAATCTGAGGTGTACAGAGTGAAAAGGAATGGTGAGAGTACAGTCCCCTGTGGTGCTCCTGAGCTACTGACCACCTGGTTAGACATACAACCCTTCAGTCTCAAAAACTGTGGTCTGTTTGTCAGGTAGTCTTTGATCCAGGTGATTGTTGAGGCCTCCACCTGAGTCATCCGGAGTTTATGACTAGGGGTGCAGAAAAAAATAGTTTTTTCGATTAATCTAGAATCTTATTCCTGGCGATTCTGAATCGTTTCTAAAGGTCCAAAAATCAATTTTAAAATGCATTTAAGTTTTATATTTTTTCCACTCCTACTCCCCGTTCGGCCGCCGTAGAATTGAGCCGTGTAGACAACCATACAGCAAGCTAGTTAGCCAGCTCCCTTAATCTGAATGGAGCCTGCTAGCATGGAGGAGGGAGACAGAGCGATTCAACTCGCTGCTTCGTGTTTAAAAATCATTTCACAATGTTCATTACGGCAAAGACTGGTTCATCCCAAAGATCCAGTCCCCCGGCACAAACGGAGTAATGTTGTGTATGCTGTTCAGTGTCAGGAGGGCTGTGATCAGTCTTACATCGGGGAAACAAAACAGCCACTGGCCAAATGGATGGCCCAGCATAGAGGATCAACATCATCAGGCCAGGACTTTGCGGTCTACACTCATCTCCAGGCCAGCGGTCACTCTTTCAGGGATGAAGATGTGCACATCCTGGATAGAGAGGAACGATGGTTTGAGAGAGGAGTAAAGGAGGCCATCTTTGTGAAAAGAAATCGTCCAGCGTTAAACAGGGGTGGAGGCCTACGTGTTCAATTGTCCCCCTCTTACAATGCTGTGATTGCTAGTATCACTCAGCCCTGTGTGAACAGTAAACAGCCATCAGTGTGCTAATGATCCATTGTTAGGCTGATGGTCCTTCTTGAGCATGTGATCAGCTGGTTTTAGTTGTCAGTAGCAAAACTGGTTGATCCACTCTGAGAAGGTGCTATTTAAGAGACTGAGCTGTATACAGCTCCTCAGACTGAGGAAGTCTCTCGGATGAGAGACGAAACGTTTCTACATTTTTTTGTTGATTTGCTTTGTTTTGTTGGTTTTTTTTTCATGTCCAGAGGACCAGATTTAACTTTTTTAGATAGCAGCTTAGAGGCAAAAAAATCAGCATAGATAATCAGCAGCACAGATAAAGTCTGATATCGCCAATTAAAGTGGCATCACAGTGGTTTTCCTGGTTAGGGTTTAAGAGTAACATTTTCAGGCTAGAAGCTGTTCCTCTGTCTAGTGGTTCTACACTTAATGCTCCACAACCTCCTGCCTGAAGGGAGCAGGGCAAAAAGTGGATGTGCTGGGTGAGTAGGGTCCTTCATGATGCAGGTTGGCCTCTTCCTACATCTGTAAATGTCTGTGATGGTGGGAGGATGACTCCAACAGTCTTCTGTGCTGCCTTCACCACTCTCTGCAGAGCTTTTCTTTCTCCAGTTGTGCAGCGCCTGTGTTACATGTTGATGCTGGAGCAACTGTGTCAACTCTTGAAACTGTGCCTGCAGTCAACCTACTTCGCATATGGGGGCCAATAATATAGGCAGAAACATGGGTGTGCTATGGGGTCTCCAGTTTCTCCTATTGTTGCCAACCTGTATATAGAGGAGGTAGAAGAGAGAGCCATGACGTCCTTTTCAGGAACGCCAGCAAGTCATTGGTTCAGGTATGTTGACGACACCTGGGTTAAAAATAAATCTCAGGAAGTCCAACATTTTACTGACCACATCAACTCGGTGGATAAGTATATCAAGTTCACACGAGAAGATGTAAAAAATGGCAGGCTGGTTTTCTTGGACTGTGAGGTCTCGGATTCTGATAGAGGACATTTGCAAACTGAAGTGTACCGCAAACCCACCCACACAGACCGGTATTTGCAGTTTGACTCCCATCACCCTTTGGAGCACAAGTTAGGAGTCATCAGGACTATGTACCACAGAGCAGACAGCGTCTCCACTAACTCAGGTGTCAGGCAGAAAGAGAAATCCCACACAAGACAGGCTCTAGTCGCAATGTGGATATCCTAACTGGGCCTTCCTGAAAGCAGAGAAGAAACTCAAACAGGACTCCAGTCAGCCTTAAGGTGAAAAGGAGGAACCCAGACCAGTGGTCATTACGTATGTTGAGGGAGTATCAGAGAAACTGAGACGTTTATTTTCTAAACACAACGTCCCAGTGGCTTTTAAACCCCAAAATACATTACGGCAAAGACTGGTTCATCCCAAAACTCCATTCCCCCCGGCACAAACAAAGTAATATTGTGTATGCTGTTCAGTGTCAGGAGGGTGATCAGTCTTACATCAGGTAAACTAAACAGCCACTGGCCACAAGGATGGCCCAGCACATTAGAGCAACACCACCAGGCCAGGAGTCTGTGGTCTACACTCATCTCCAAGCCAGCGGCCACTCTTTCAGGGATGAAGATGTTCACATCCTTGATAGAGAGGAACGATGGTTTGAGAGAGAAGTAAAGGAGGCCATCTTTGTGAAAAGAAATCGTCCATCATTAAAAAGGGGTGGAGGCCTCCGGGTTCAACTGCCCCCCTCTTACAATGCTGTTATTGCTAGTATCACTCAGCCCTCTGTGAATAGCAAACAACCATCAGGGTGCTAATGATCCATTGTTAGGCTAATGGTCCTCCTTGATCATGTGAGCAGCTATTTTTGGCTGTCAGCATCAAACTGGTTGATCCACTACAAGAAAGTGCTATTTATAAGACTGAGCTGAATACAGCACCTCAGACTGAAGAAGTCTTTCAGATGAAAGACGAAACGTTTCTACTTTTTTTGTTGTTGTTTGTTTTGTTTTTTTGAATATACAGAGTACCAGACTTAACTTTTTTAGAATTTTCTACTTGGATTTTTGAGCATGCATCAGGCTACTTACTATGGTCTGTTCAGCAAAATATGCAACACAGTATTGCTCCCTGCTTCGTCTGTTCTGAATGTTAAAATGAAACTTAAAAATGAATGGTCATGACTTGAAAGTAGTCATTATGCTTCCTCTGCTGGATACATTGTATCATTACAGCTTATAGATTTTAATACTTTTGTTGGATGTAACTTGGACCCAGTGTACACAATTTTGTTCCACCACATGACAAAGAACCTTGAATCCTTATTCCCAGCATTTTAGGGGTAAAAATTAGAAGTGTTATATCGACCGATAATAGTACCATTATCGCCAATATCGATAGGTCCCTAAACACCTATATTGGCCAAAATTATTGGCCCCACCGATATATTGATCAGGCTTTACTTAAAACTTTTTAGAAACATAAAATCAAACATAAATTGTTTTTACTATTTAGTTACATTTTTTAATATGACTGTTTATCCACAGCTTAACTTGTACTCTATATTTGTCTGCCCCTCATGAGTGGCACAATTAGTTGCCAGTGTGACTAATTGGCCAATGGCAGCAGCTTTACCATGTCTTTTGGTTTTTGTTCTTTGTACACTTATACAGTTTTATATAAATGCAGACAGGGCAGCACGGTGGCGCAACTGGTAGAGCTGCTGCCTCTCAGCAAGCAGGTCCTTGGTTCAAACTCCGGTCCAGCGGCCTTTCTGGGTGGAGTTTGCATGTTCTCTCCGTGCATGCGTGGGTTTTCTCCGGGTGCTCCGGTTTCCTCCCACAGACCAAAAACATGCATGTTAGGCTGATTGGTAACTCTAAATTGTCCTTAGGTGTGAATGAAAGAGTGAATGGTTGTTTGTCTCGTTTGTCTCTATGTGGCCCTGTGATGGACTTGAGACCCGTCCAGGGTGTACCCCGCCCCTCGCACAGTGATTGCTGGACATGGGCACCAGCGACCCCCGTGACCCAAAATGGAATAAGCGGGTTAAGATAATGGATGGATGGATGGATGGATAAATGCAGACATTTTGCCATTAGATTAATACAAAACTAAGTTCCAAATTACCATTGAGCTTTATAGATGAAAGTTGATGGACTTTGTACCATTTTTCAGTCATGTCATCTGGACAGTTTCTTTTATTTGTGCTGAAACGTTTCGCCTTCAATCCGGAAGGCTTCATCAGTCAAGGAAACACACAACACAAAACTGATTCTTTCCCCAACAGCTTACTCCAAAGTGGAACAAACCAGTTTTGTTGGTGCTAAGAAGGTTTCTTTGGTACGCCCCCTCCTCTATTGCCAGCCCTCTTCCTTGTTGACAGTCGTGTCAAACTGGTTGAAAACAACAAAGTCCATGCTCAATAATCCATACAATCAAACATTTTTCAGTCAGGTCATCTGGACAGTTTCTTTTTGTTTGTGATGAAACGTTTTGCCTTCAATCCGGAAGAGGGCTGGCAATGGAGGAGGGGGCGTGCCAAAGACACCATCTTCGTACCAATATAACTGGTTTGTTCCACTTTGAAGTAAGCTGTTGGGGGAAGAATCAGTTTTGTGTTGTGTGTTTCCTTGACTGATGAAGCCTTCCAGATCGAAGGCGAAACGTTTCAGCACAAAAAAAAGCTGTCCAGATGACCTGACTGAAAAATGTTGGATTGTATACCTGGATTATTGAGCATGGACTTTGTTGATGGACTTTGTAGTTTCATTTTAAACTAGAAAGTTTCAAACAGATAAAGAAAATAAGGATATAAAGGATATAATGCAGAAACAATGTCATACAACTGTAGCTACAACTCTGACTCTAACATCATGCAGATATGTTTAACAAAACAAATTCAATCACTTCTTAAATGTTTTGCTGTTCACAAATTTTCAGCATGGACGTTTAAAAAATATTGAGAAAGCTGAAAAATCCTGATTACCATTTTTACGTTCCTCCCACTGATGCTGTCCAGATCAAGGAACATGTCTAGGTCACAGCCGAGCTTCCCAAAGCCATTCACAGACGAGCCAAATGGCCTGATGGTGCATTCTGGAAAATAAGCAACTGCTATGTCCTTGAGGAGAGAGCAAACAAGGAAACGCAGTCTGCTGTTTTCCTCTGTGAGCTGAAAGGCCTTAGTCAGTGAGACCATCTGCTGCTCTACCTGCAATGAAACATGAAAGACACTTTGCAAACTAGTCCAACCATCTGAATGCAAACAAAATGTTTCTTATGAGACAATTACTTACACTCTCCTCACTGGACAGCCTATGGATGAGCTCATTGGAGGAAATAGTGGTTTGAGGCTGACACAGTTGGCTCCTTTCTTGGTTCCACGAGTTCAATGAGCTGAGATTTTTGAATGACAGAAGTCTAGATTTGAAAGGCACCAAGGATTCATGGCTGATACTTGGGATAGTGGCCAATTCAAATAAAGAAGCAACACTGTCCCGAGTGGCATATTCTACTACAGCATACACTCCCTGCAGAAAACACACAATCATTCATTGAAAAAAAAAATCCTAAACACACACCTCTAAACATGACAGAGGCCACATACTTATCAGTAAAGCATGGTCTTTCACTTACATAACTTTCATAAAAGAAGTACTTCTTAATGTCTCCATGCTTTGACAAAAACTTGAGGAAGTTCTTCTCATTGGTTTTGGAATGGCAGCTGATTAGAACAGATCTCTCCGCCTGATCTTGTCTTTCCGCCTGGAGAGCAAGTAGAGACTTGCGTCCATTCTTTTCTGCCAATGACAGAGCAGAAGAACAATTTCTAATGGAAGATTTCCCTTTGAACAAGGCATTTTTACGCACCAGTTAATACACCAAAGTTTTCATAAGATTAAAAAGCTCTTTTTTTCTTTGAAAATCCTGAGTAAAAGGGCAGCAGAAAAGTTACAAATTCTGTATGACACACAGATACAATTAGTTTTACATTCATACAGTCAAATTGGAAAATTTATGCCAAAAATGTATGTTAAAATATGTCAAACTCACAAACATCACTAAAATAACTTGAAACTAACAAATGTGATTCAAAAAGGAAGAAAACAAAAAATAAAAATCAACTTGTGAAAATCAGGCATTGCTTTTTTTTAATTTTGGTTCAACAGAATTGAAACTGGACCAAACAAACTAATGAAAATGGACTTGATAAAAAGGCTGGTACATCTAGATAAGATTGACAATAATTTGATCATTGGGACATGTTAAACTAAGGAGCGTCCTGAAATTAGCATCACAGCTGTCTTTATTCAGTCGGCCTATTTGAAGGGGGAAAAGTAGTCACTGTGCTTTTGGGTATCGTGGCGTGTAACACACTGAATATGAACCATAGAAAGCTAAGGACAGAGTTGATAATTGATAATTATTATTGACAAGTTAGTTGAAGGTATATACACTGCAAGACTATCTCAGCAGCTTGATGTTCCCGTGACTAGAGCTGCACAGATTATTCAGAAGTTTAAGGTCCACAGGACAGGACACAGCCGCCCTGGATATAGCCACAAGAAGAAAATTAATGATAAACTGATGAAACAGACAGAGTTTTATTTATTTATTAATTAAATTTTTAAACAGGAAAAGATTTTTAAAAAAATTGGGCCTGGCTCAGTATATTTGATGTTTTACAGCAGGTTCCTGTTCTGCAGAACATAAAAAACACACAGATATCCAGCATCACATTACATTAATAGACACACAGACAAGTAGTCAAGACAAGTTCTCTCTAAGAAATCCAGCAAAGTTGAATCTTGGCTTCATTGCAGTCTCCCATCCTGAGCAAGCACAGTGGCAACAGTGCAAAGGAAAAAGTCCCTTTTAAAAGTTGGTAGGAGAGATGGTATGGTATGGTATGGTATGGTATATAGTTTATTCATTTAAAAAAAGTACAAAACAATTCCATAACAATATAAAAAAAAGATACAACAGATTTAAAATGAAAGGCAGCAGAAAGAAGAAAAAAATCTTATTATATCTGCCCATTTTTTCAAACAATTATTTCAGACATAATAATCTTCAAGTAACAGTACAAAATGAATAACTTTCTAATTTATCTAATTCTAATACAAAACACACACTAATCTACTTCATATATACTTTTTTAACAATTAAGTTTTTATCTTTTTTTTAAATGTACACATTGACTTGGCATTTTTCACATCACTCTCTAGACCATTCCACAATCCAACTCCTTGGATTGAGGTAGACCTTCCCTTCAGACTAGTTCTGAATTTTGGTTTGACAAATATTTCTGTCCCCTTAAGATTATAACAACTTTGTCTTTTAACAAAATTTCTTTGGATATTTAATGGTAATGTGTGATTTTGAGCCCTATACATAACTGATAAAATACTATAATCTACCAAATCATGGAACTTTAATAACTTCAGTTGATAAAATAATGTGCTTGATGGGTGACTGTAATGCTTTCTGGTGATAATTCTTACAGCTCTTTTCTGTAAAATAAAAATAGGTTTTGTAAATGTTTTACACGCTTTCCCCCAAACATCAATGCAATAGATTAAATGTGGAACAATGATTGTGTTATACAATATGTACAGAGCTTTATCATTTAATAATTCCCTAACTTTGTATAGTACTGCAATAGATTTAGATATTTTTGTTCTTACAGAATTTATGTGATTTTTCCATGTTAGCTGTTCATCAATGATTACACCCAAAAAATTTCATCTCATTAACTCTGCAAATCTCAACACCCTCAATTTTAAATGGATCATCAACAGTTCTCTTTTTGTTACTAAATATCATGTATTTAGTTTTGTCTAAATTTAATGATAATTTATTAAGTTTAAACCAAGTTTGTATTTTATCAAATTCTGTCTTCATCAGTTCCAACATCCGTTTTACATCTTTACCCAAACAAAAAAATGTGGTGTCATCTGCAAAAAGGACACATTTGAGGAGTCCTGATACATTCACTAAGTCATTCACATATAAAATAAATAACTTTGGTCCAAGTACAGAGCCTTGAGGAACTCCACAAGTGATATTGCACAGGTCAGATCTTACACCATTTATTTGTACAAACTGTTTCCTATCTTTTAAATAGCTAGATACCCAGTGTAATGCTGGTCCTCTTATACCATATTTATTTAATTTTTCAAGGAGAATAGTGTGGTCAATAGTATCGAATGCTTTTTTTAAATCAACAAAAATACTAACACAATACTGTTTTTGATCGACAGCAGTAGTTATTTGTTATTTGAGATCATATCTCTCCAGTTTTAATTTCTCTCCACTGGCTCCCTGTCAAATCCAGAATAGAATTCAAAATCCTACTTCTAACCTACAAAGCTCTAAACAACCTAGCTCCATCTAAAAAAAGTTTAAGTATGGTCCGACATTCAACCAGACTGAACTTCTTTTTAGATTTTTCTACCTGGATTATTGAGCATTCATCAGGGAACCTAGCTCCATTTTATATTACAGATCTTATTGTTCCATATTTTCCTAACAGAGAATAGTTATGCTGCTACAGGCTTAGACTGCTGGAGGACAAACTGGCCACACTTTTTCACTCTGCTACTGTCTTTACTTACTCTGCTCAACCTGTTTTGTATTTGTAATTATTTTTTCTATCCTTGACATGTGGGGTGTTTTTGTCTTTCAGGTCCACCTGGACCGATATCTAGACCTACCATTCTGTGTTTGTTTGTCTCTCCTTTCTGTCCTCTCAAACCAGCTGGTCAAAGCAGATGGCTGCTTGCCCTGAGCCTGGTTCTGCTGGGGGTTTCTTCCTCCAGTTAAGACTCTGGCAGCAGCATTTTGGATCAACTGAATATGTTTTAAGGAAGTATTTGGACATCCAGATAATAAACCATGGCAATAGTCCAGTCTAGATGTGACAAATGCATGGACCCGTTTTTCTACATTATTTTTAGATAGGTTTCTAATTTTAGTGATATTACGCAGGTGGAAGGCAGTTCTAGTAATGTTTTTAATGTGGGGGATAAAAGACATGTCCTGATCAAAAATAACACCAAGATTTTTAACATTAGAGCTGGAGGCCAGATTAATGCCATCTAAGGAGGGAGAAAGACTGAAAAATTAATTCCTAAGGTGCTCAAGTCCAAAATCCAAAACCTCAGTCTTGTCAGTGTTCAAAAGGAGAAAATTAAGGGTCATCCAGGTTTTTGTGTCTTTAAGACATGCTTGTAGTCTAAGTAACTGACTGGATTCATTGGGCTTAATGGACAAATATAATTGTGTCATCAGCATGAAAATTAAAATGTATCCCATGCTGTTTAATAACTTTACCTAATGGAATCATAAATGAAGTAAAGCGTATTGGCCCAAGCACTGAGTCCTGAGGAACTCCATGACTAACTTTGGTGTATGAAGAAGATTTATTATTTACAACAAAGTCTATGCTCAATAATCTAGGTATACAATCCAACATTTTTCAGTCAGGTCATCTGGACAGTTTCTTAGTTTATTACAGTTTATTATTTACATTTGCAAACTGGAATCTATCTGATAGATATGATTTAAACCATTTTAAAGCCGTTTCTGTAATCCCAATATCATATTCAAGTCTCTGTAGTAAAATATTGTTGTCAACTGTATCATGCACCTGGTGATGAGCTGCTGAGATCACGTGAGAGCTGTGCTGCGTAAGTAACATGGCAGGATACTGTTAAACAAAAACGATTCGACTCAGGTAAAACAAGCCAATATATTACAATCAAACATAAAAAATATTGTTAATACTAACCTCTGCATATTGTTTCAATAAACCAAACTGGACGAGGAAATCTTAGACAGTCTGGAGAATTACATGGACGAGTGTTTTAACATCGTGATGGGCAAACCATAAAAAAAACACTGCATCCACGGCCACACCAACTCCTAAACGCACGCGTTCAGAGAGCTCAATCAGCACGGGTCCAGGAGAGGACCAATATATGAAGCACGTCCACCTCCCCAGAGAAAAGCATCACTGATGTCCTGGACTCTATAGACAAGAAGATGACCAGCTTAGATGCCCGGCTGGCCCTGGTAGAGCAAGGAGTTCCGAGCACTGAGGGAGTTTCTGGAGTTCAGCCAAGCTCAGGTGGCATTGCTCGCTGCTGAGAACCAAACGTTGAGGGAAACCGTCAAACAACTCAGAGAGGGGATGACGCAGCTGTCCGGAGGAAAAAAGAAAATGAAGGAGTCCATCCAGGACATCCAAGCGCGGAGCATGCGGGACAATCTCGTCTTCCCAGGGATCCCAAAACGAGCAGAGGAGGATGCCGAAATTTTGATTTGTGAGTTTATCCAACATCAGCTGAAACTCCCAAGTGAGATGGTAAAAAACATCACTTTCCATCGTGTTCACCGTCTAGAAGGTAAGAAACCCGATAACAAGCGACCATGGCCAATTATAGCTAAATTTGAGCACTATAAACAAAAAGAGCAGGTCAGAGGTCGGAG